CACACACACACACACACACAAACACAGATAGATAGATAGATAGATAGATAGATAGATAGATAGATAGATATAGATAGATAGATAGATAGTGTTGGTGATAGTTTTGCATCTCTGCATTTATCGTGACATCAACATAGTCTGTCCAAGGTGCAGTTTCTTGCCACCTGGGATCAGGTGAAGTATTTGCCACTTATAGTTAATAGCAAATAACTTATAGCTTACATTGAGATACAAGACACAAACTAAACGCTGAACCCTGTGAAATTGTTGCATAAAATGCAACGTTATTTAAAAAAGTATCAACAAGACTTAGTCTGAAAGGCTTTATTAATCTAGCAAATTAAATAAGAACATATGATACAAGGTGTCTGAGTCTTTGATTATAATATAGCCTATTATTAACATTTAAATACAGTAATCGATGCCACTAAGCTTTACTGCAGCATTTAACCCAATACCTCTCAACATTATCCCATTTCCTTTGAGGCTTTTCATCACAGAGTTCAAAAGATGTCAGAATACAGCTGTTGTTGCTGTGCATATCAGGGACAACTTGTGGTCAGTGTGTTTGCATCAGCATAAATAAATTAAGGTAACAGACTTAAAAAAAAAAAAGGATAGAGCAAATAATTCATGTGGATACAGTAGCCTGATGACTAATGTAAGATGTTCAACGACGAGAAGACAACTTTAAATTCAATAACTCAAGATTCGACTGGTGTACGTTGTATTATCTTTTCTGCTCACTTTGATTTTATTAAATAAATAACATTTATAATAGGTAAATTGTTGCTGAAATAAATTTATTAATGTTTATGCAAACACACTGAAATAAAGACTGCATTTAGGATTTACGTTAAGTGTAAATCAAAACTCTTAAACAAAAGAAATAAACTTTTCTCAGTTAAAAAGCACAGTTTTAGTTCAAACAGCTTGAGTCAAATATCTCCTGTCAACACTGCACTGCATCTGCTTACACTCTTTATTTCTAAAACCTCTTTTGTAACCATGAATTGTTTAAGACGAATCACGTCATCGGTAGGACATTTTGCCATGTGATCCATGTGAATGTCAGAAACATTCTTTTAAAAATAAACAGAATAAATAACGTGCCATTGTTGCACAGCGTCTTTGAAAAGTAGAAAAGGAGGCCTCTGAGGACTGGAAAATGACACCAGAGAAGGACAGTACAAACACCAACTGTGGCACTCCACCACTTCTTCTATTCTAACCTTAAAGAAATGCATGTCTGCTTCAAAACGTGTCTACATCAAACCGTCTGATCAGTGCAGGTGATCCTCTGAGAAGTCTGACATAAATCTAGGAATAAAACTAAACTTTTCATCTCGACTCAAATCAAAACAGAACACTCAAAGAACATTAACTACGATGTGTTCAATCATTAGTGATGGGACTGGATCTTCCAGGGAAGTGTTTATTTTCCCACTTTTTGGCCTATGATAAATTCAGGATGTTTCTTTTTTTTAGCCCAACTTTGCCGTCGCCTTCTTGTTGTTTCTTTAAAGTGCCCGTCGTTGACTCGGTGTGCTTTCGACCCCTTTAAAGTCTTTTATCCACTGGCAGCAGTTTGCTGAAAAACACCAAACCTGAGGACCAAAAATATGATGTGAAAATTTAAATGCAACAAAGTTATTTTACTAAAGAAAGGAGGAAATAAGTGACAATAATTTGACAGGGTTGTGTAACTTCTCGTGTGTGATCTTTACCTTCTGTTTTAGTGACTAGGAGGAAACGGCCCATGTGTGTTTATAGACTGTTGCAACTTCTCCTCTTTGGCCCTTCTGCTGTGGCAAAGCTGCAAGGCAACACAAAACATCAACACATATTACACTTTCCAGGGATGATAGCGGGGAAAAATCCTGAGCCTGAATGTTTTTTCTACCCCCCTGTAATTTATATTTCATATTTAATTATTAAATACTTTACCCTTTTCATAAAGTCTGGTTCCAAATATAAACAATTTTGCTCATCAATCCTTTTTTATAAAATATAACAAAACAAAACTATTAGGCTGCTGAACGG